CACAGTTGTTAGCTCAGGACTAATCTTCCTCAGAAAAACAAACAAACAAACAAACAAACAAAAGCAGGGCCATGGGTTCCCTTCTGCCAGAGTCCAGTTTGTTTTCCAAGACCCTCTGTTCCTGATGGGATGTGGATGGAAAGTGCAAATATGCTCCCACACATACGCATAAACACATGCATCCATATATAAGGACAGGCACGATACAGCATGAAGAGGATTTTTCTGTGCAAATAGACATTTGGAAAGTATCACATCTTGGGTTTACTTTTAGAAATTAAAGATGACATTCAGTCAACAGAACATCATCTCTATTACAGTCCCTTGTTTTCAGAGATGAAGGATGAGTGAGGCCTTGAAGAAATCATCCTGCCTATAAACCATGGTTTTCTGGCACTCGACGTTCAGAAGAGACATGGGGCAGAGCAGCTTCATATGAAACATGGAGACCAGTTGTCTAGGGGTCTTCCAGTCATGTCAGCCTTAAGTCCCACTAGTTCTTGCTTGGTTCCTTCTCAGGTTCCATCTTGTGATAGCTGATGTGGCCAACACTGCCTGCCCAACATTCATCCTCTTCTTCTCTTTATTAAGAGAAACATGGTTTTTTGGGGAGTGTGAAGGGAGAGGGGGTGATAGCAATTTCCCCTGCTGAAAACTACATTTCTCAGCGTCCTTTCCCGCCAGAACTGGTCATGTGACACAGTTCTGACCAAAAGACAGAGGCCGAGGATTTCTGAGAAAGCTTTGCTTTCATGATATAGGTAGGACCCACCTTTTTCTGTTTGCCCTTTTTTTTTCCTGAATGAAGTTAGGGTGTGTTGGCTGGACCTGCAGCAGCCATCCTGTGACTGACCATGAAGGAAAATTTAAGAAAATCACAAAGATATTGGCTCTGAATCCTCGGATCACTGCACTGGCTCTGGACTGCTAGCCCCTAGACTTCTTAGGAGATGAGGGAAAATTAAATCTCTCTCTTCTTTAAGGCATGGATATTTTGTTTTGTTTTGTTATATGTATCTGAGTGCAATCCCTTATCAGTACAGATATAACTGACAAGTGCCCCATTTTCCCAAAGGAGAGGATCTGGGGTTGTCCATCATCTGTATAAATCAATAGGGGAAATTATTTATTTTGAAATAATAAACTAAATAATTAACATTGGAGTAGATGCTTATCTTTAAAAATATACATAAAAACCCTTAGAGTAAAATAAGTTAAGAGGCAAAGAGGATTTTTCAAAATATGAATGATCTAATAATGCTCAGTGTGTAATTTTAATATTTAAATATCTCTTACAAGATGAATTTAAAAATCCAGACAACACTTGTGGGAAAGATGTAAAAAACCTGGAATGATCATGATTTTCAGCTAGATTGCGTTGAAGAAGAACTGAATCTCATGGTTCCCATTTTAGAAATGAAGAAACTAAGAAACCAGGAAAGAAAAAACTCAACACTTATACAACACATGCTCTTAGGAAATAAAAATCCAGCTAATTGATAAAAAAAAGAGCAAAGGCTTTAAGATGAAGAAGAGAAGACCCAAGAAAGAACCACTTGTTGTTCAACTGCTTATACATAGAAACATTTCTTCTCACATGGATGCAGGCTCTGTTTTAACAGTTTGACAATAAAGCAAAAACAGGACTTGGGCCCTCTCCCTTCAGCTGATTCATAAATCCCAGTAGCTCTATAAGAATTAATCTTTGTGACGCCATGAGAATTCATGTCTTTTCAAGGAGAGATCAATGATGGAGGAGGCAGGTATGGAAGAGATGGACTCTTTCAGGCTCTTCTGCGTTTTGCACCTTGAGGTATGGCCTTAAGTGAACCCCTGTAGCCTCAGTTTCCTTGTCTGTGCTATCTCCACCCTCATCCACAATAATAATTTTTCTCCTTTGTTTGATATCACCAAGTATGCCAAAAGTGGGACATTCTCCAGAGTAATTTAATGATGACAAGAATAAAACAGCAACTCCAAATATCAAGGAATGTGTGTTTTGTGCCCTAATACCACAGCCACTACAGAAGTGTTGCAGAGCGGCATCTGATCCTCCAAGGAGCTAGGGCACAGCCTCACCCAGAGAGGAGAGGCCACCCCGGGGGTCTCTGGAGACAGACTTAGGGGAGAGCCACCAGGTGGAGAAGCCAGGGCAGGGCATGATTACAGTGTCTGAGTGGAAGGATGAAAACACTCTCAATCTCTTCCTGGAGGCTCTCTCAATCCACCTGTGGTTTTGTCATCAGGCTATCTTGTCACATAAAGTATGTGGATGGAGTAGAGTGGAAGGAAAATCAGGGGGAAAATAGAGAGCTGTTTCTGTGTTTTATCTGGGTTTAAGTAGGGAAGTGATTAATTGGTAGACACAGAGCCCAAGAGGGGAAGCTAGGAGGCTTTTCAGTGCACGTGGTGACAATGGTCCTTCTGCTCCAGGAAAAGCAATAGATCATCGAGTGGGTTTCCCTCAAAGAGCTCTTTCACAAAGTCTGATTAGAGCAGCCTGTGGCTGAGGAAATCAATAATGTAAATCCCACATTTTACCTGGATTACTCCCCACACATCCGAGCTGAGTTAAAATGCTCTGTGATGATCCAATATCCCCAGTAGGAACCAAAAGGTGGGCATCGTAGGGCTAGAAATTGTACTGCACTGCTTGAAATGCCTGTTTGGTGTCTTACAGAACTTCTGATCATAAGCAAAGACGGCCAAATTACCCAGAGCAGTCCACCTTGTAGCACTTAAAAAAAAAAGAAAGATTATGTTTTAAAAAGAACAAATTTAAAGGCAATTATTGCTTTCTTCCCATTTGGATTCTTCCTCCTGATGATCGTGCTTTGCTGCCAGGATTTCTAAATATTGTCACCTCTTAAAAGCAATCTTCTCTTCTTACTGTGCACACACACCTGGCCTGTGTGCTGTAGAGAACAGCCACCAGGCTCCTGCTTTCCCAGAATCCAGGCTGGGTGTTCACTGTTCTCCAGAATAGAAATGGGCAGAAATCAAAGAGGAAAGTCTTTTGGGGGCAAAAGGGGAAGGGGATATCTGTTACCTGTGGTTGACCACATCTTTTGAAGACTCTCTCTTCTTTTTAATAGGGTCCCAAAATTTTAGTCCCATATTCCCAAAGTAGAATTCTAAAGACTACATTTCCCAGCTTCCCTCACAGCTAGATACAGGCATGTGATCTAGGTTCCACCAATCAGACACAGATATTCAAGACTCTCATTTGCAAGTGAGCCAAGGATGGAAGAGGCTTTGCTGTGGGGCGGGGGGCGGCGCATAATGCTGTGGGCACAGGAAGTGGCAGAGGCAGTGGGAGAGAGTGCCAACTCAGGCCATTCTGCAGAGTGCTTGAGGGGTAGCAATGCATGTGGCAGCCGTCTCATCAAGACCTGGCTTTAGGCGCTGAACCTGCCTTAAGTTCAGCCTTAAGCCCATTTCTCTTGTCTTCCCTGCCTACTCTCCTCTCATAAAGTTTTTCTTTTTTACTTAAACAACCAAAGATGGATCCTGTTATCTGCAGCTAAAAATTACCTAACCCAATAGGCACACGCAGATATCCGACAGTCCACTTGGAAACAGGGTTCAAGAAAGCTCTCCTGGTAGGGAAAAGTATGTCTTAAATAAAGGGATTCTAATCTTGACCTGGGCTTGGTACAGAGGAGCCCTGTGAGGGGCAGGAGATTTCAGTGAGCTCCTCTCAACTCTCAGTGGGAACGCATGGAGAAAAAATGACTGCAGCTAAAACACAGGAAAACATCTACCCTCAAGAGACAACCAAACAAGTGACAGTCTAGATGGGGTTAATTCTGGGAGCACTGCCTTTCTCTCCCTGCCTGAAATGTCTCCATTAGGGGAAGTGTCCCCTGGCTCCGGAAGATATGCGTGTCCTATTGGAGGATGAATGCCTGTGGTAGGGCTTACCACTTCCTCATTAGCTGTATGGCAGACTTTAGTTGACACAGTTCAGGATTGCGTTCTTGGGAAAGAGGCCCTGGAGGGTCCCAAAAAGAGGAAGGTGGGAGGATACTGAAAACACATTTCACTTATTTCCCCAGGTCTGGCTCTGTATAAGTTGTGAATTGACACGGTTTTAAAAGAAATTAGAAAGAACACATCACGTCTTATGTGGTTCTCTGACAACCAAAACAAGAGCAAGATAAATCTCTTCACTGTTTCAAATATGATTTTCCTAAATGAAGGAAATCTAAACATATGGCAAAAAGCTTTAAAATCTGTTAATATGTAAATGTCATGATAAAATGGAAATGGTGAATGTTACGAACTGCCAGGCCATGTTCTCTGAAAATGGAAAGGAGTCTCTTGGACTCATCCTCTCCTTTTGCCATGGGGCTGACTAAATCTGGCTGTGGGAACTACTTATCCTCGCAGACTGGAAATGAAATTTTGAAGAAACGGTGCTACTTGCTAGGCTTAAATACACTGAAAGGGAGGTTAAAAATGAGGTAATGTAGAAACTTTACCTCATTTTTAGAAATGAGCATTTGCAGAAAGTCTTGTGACTTTGGATGTTTGAATCCCAGTTCCCTCTACTATGCGACCGTGGGAAAGTCACTTGACCTCTCTAACTCTCAGTTTCCTCATCTATTAAGTGAGAATGCTCATTCTCAGCTTGTACAACTGTAATGAGGAGAATATCAATATCAGTAATATTGACGAAATACCTGGTCATGGTAACGGCGGAAGAAATGGGAATTATTAAGTGATGAACAAGACCAGCCTCTACCTTCAAACTAGCCCATCCAATGATAAGGATAAAGGAATATGAGCTTCTAGTAGTAGCTTCTGGAAGGCTATAAGTCACTACAAGAATTCAGTGAGTGGCCTTCAGAGGGGAAAGCTAAAAATTCAGCCCGCCTTCATCAATGAGCACACAAGTTCATTAGCAAGCTGTTTGTTAATCTCTGCCACACAGTCCTCTCATTTGGAATTGAAATAAGAGAACCCTTGCCCTTTGGACATTGTGTTTAAGCTTTTATTGTGAATGGTAACAGGTCAGGGACTGGAATCTAATTGACAAATAGCCTAGATGTAAAGAGCATTAATTAGAAGACTCTTTTTGGACAATTATTCACAGCAAACAAGTTCAAACCAGAAGATGCTAGCTGAAAATCATGAATTTAGTCAAGGGTGAAAGACACAAGAATAACTAAGTATTTTGCACAAAGGAAATCTTGTTGATGATCCAGTAGAATTGATGCTCGTAGAACGCAGTCTCCTAAGGGTTTTGTTTTGCTTCTTTGGGAGAGGCTGTCATTGTCATTGTCAGCTCAGCTGGGGCTTCCTTCCTTCATGTTGAGAACCTGGAGCAGAGAGTCCACCAACTTAAAAAATATTGGAAAGAGTTAAGCAAACATAGTCAGTGATGCTGAAGTCTAATACTAGAAGTAAATCCATTCCCAACAAACCATCAGCATCACTTGGGAGCTTGTTAGAAAGGCAGATTCCTAGGTCTACCCCGAGCTACTGAACTGGAAACTCTGGGGGTGGGACCCAGGAATCTGTGGTTTCACAAATCCTCCAGGTGATTCTGTGCACATGGACACTTGAGAACAACAGCTGTGGTCATCCTCGTCATCATTGTGGTCCACCCCTCCCAACCCCCCACCCCGCTGAGAAATAAATGAACTGCCTCTCTTTTTGGAGCCACTGTATTTTGGGGTCTTTTTGTTGTATTAGCTTAACTTGTACCCTGATATGACTACTCAGGTATGTTTTGATCAATGTTGGAAATTAAATGTATTATCCCCAGGAATTTGTTACTAAAATAGCAGCTGGGTAGGGAGACTATTAGGAAATGTGGAATCTTAATTCTTACTTTGCTTACTTTGGCAATGCCTCACTACACAAATCAAAGCTCATTTATGAATTACACAATTATACATTATAAACTCAGGACTGAAATGGTAGTAGTGTGGGCAACTGGGGAAAATGAGCTGATTTAGGTTTCTGCCAATTCTAAATTCATTGTGGTTTCCTTGTTGTGGCTTCTGTTCAAATTAAGACTGAAGAAAGAATGAGTAGTCATAATTTTAAAATACTCCTTTGCTCCCAAATAGCATCCTTTATCCGCTGAGATGAGAAAACACTTCATCCAGACTAAAGCTTATTACACTTTCCAAGATTCTCTGGCAATTCAGATTCCCCAATGTCCAGACCAGTCATTTGTTTCTAATAAAGGAATTACTGATATTCTCAGGCCAGTTGTTACCTGCTCTGTGACTCAGTTGTTTTGATCAGGGGCTAATGAGGCCAGGGCCCGGGGTTCAATTCTCACACAGGCCAGTTAGCTTTGCTTTTCTCCAAGAGCCCAGGCTGCACTGTTAAGGGCCGTCAGCCTGCCTGAAGGTGCTTTCATGCATCCTGTAATATGAGCCACTGGGCATAAAAGGGGCCAGCTGAGGAGGTAGGAAGGGATCCATAGAGGTCTTCTCCATTGACTCAAAATATTAAATCAGAGTAGTTTGGCTCAAGGGAATGGAAGTAAAGCTACAAGGAAAAGAAGAATTGTGAAACCTAAGAAGATCAAGGACCTGGAGGCAGGAGGGGTGTCCATGGTCGGGGGTGAGGAGGAGGTGTATTTGAGGTGGGGGATGATTTGACTCTGCTCCTACAGAAACTGAGAGGGTAATCAGAGGATTTTTAGTGATTCTTGATTGCATGTTGTTTTTCCTATATTTGGAGCCTCCTTTGGAGCATTTCACTTATTAAGAAACAAAACCTTTCTATTCTCTGTACTGATTTGATGGGACAGTGGGAGCTGTCCCTAAAAAGTGGAGCAAACTTGTATATTTACTTCCCAGCTATAACAATGCATTCCCCAGGTCCCTTTCCTCACGTGCCTCAAATAAGAGAAAAAACCTAAGGCTGCAAAGAACAATGGACTGGGTCCAAATTACAAAAGGAACCTGAAGGCCAATTTCAACCTTCCTTGCAAGTCAGGACAATCCACAGCCACATTCAGGATTACAGATCAGGCTTGGAGCCCACCTGAACGCTGTTTCATGTTATAGAACCCATACGGTAAAAGTTCAATTAATTTTTTGTGAGAAGGGTACAATTAAAAGATTTAGGCTAACCTTGAAAACTATTGGCCATAATTGCTAATGGAGTTCTGGAGCTTGTTTGCCATGATATAGTAGTCTAGATTCAGCGCATTTACAGAAATCTTTTCTGAATTAGGTAAGTACCTTTGTCATCAAAACATAGGGTGATGCTCAGAGTTTCTAACTACAGCTCTGAGAGATTTGGCAACAGGACTTGATGTTTTATCACTAAAATGGGAGAGGAGAGCATATGTGGATAATGTTTCATTTTAAGAGAAGTCCTTCAGCCTCTGAAAATTCCCGCTGCTAATTCTGGCAATGCTCAGCTAAGTTATTAAACTTCTTTCTAACACTGAAAGATCAATGGAGTTCTGGTAGAACTACTCTCTTGGTACTCCCTCTTTGTGAATAAGATAATTATTCAAGATGTTTTCAATTTTCAACATACCTTCATTGAGGCAGAATTTTCAAAGCAAGAGAAGTGATAAACTGTTTTGGTCTACGCAAAGACTAACTGTTGAATTTGTTTTTCATATTACTAGGAAATACACCAAAAGAATGGTACCAATGTGTGAAATAGCTCATTATTCAACTTGAGGTGGAATAAAATGAGATGGCTTTCTAAATTTGTAGAAAAGAACAAAGCATAAAAAGATATAATAGAAGAACAATTATAAAAGATTATAAAAAGATTTTATAAAAAATCTTTTATAAAAAAGATTATAAAAAATCATTATAAAAAGATGACTTTTTTTTTCAGCTCACATTGTATACTGATAGATACTGTCCCCAGTTGCTTTCTGTGACTGCCCACTCAATCCATTCCCCTAGAAGCCTTTTTGGAGCTATTCTTTGTAATGGCTTTTGAAGCTGACAGAATAGTCTTCTGAATATGGCAGGAAAATTTCAATCCTTGAGAAAGGAGTTGAATTTTTCAAAACATTCCAAAAATATGCAGAGCCAGATTTGGGGAAATAAATCAACTCAGGGTGGATATTGCTGTTTGGTTAAAAAATGAGGCACTATAGATTAATAACGTGATTGTGTGTGGGGGGGTATATTATACCAAAGGTATGAGGATAAGTCCATTTCAGTGTTCGTGAAATTATTTTAGAGGGCTTTGTGCTGGCGATCGTTATTACTCTTCAGACAAAGGAGAAGGCACTGCTGTTGGACAGCCACCCCCAGGAAGGCCAGCAAAGGCCTTGACCAAGAAAAGCCCTGGCTGGTCAGGTGCTGAGAAGTCAGTCACCAATTCCTGGAGTCCTCAGAGCCGTGTGATCCACCAACAAAGAAGGGAGCTGGTCAGACAACACCAGTGACACCTGTACTACAGATGTGGACAAGAGAATCACTCCAGGTTTGTACAAAGTCGGTCCTTATTTCTGTACTGGTTGATTTAATCCAGCTTTTCTTTCTGAATAAAGGCTACTAGAGTTCTCTCTCGGTGCTCAATGCCACAAATGAACTTTTAGTTTGTGTTTAGCACAGAAAATCTGCAGTAGACCAAAGGGCCGTGAAACATTAGGCCTCCCTCCAGAGAAGCCAGCTGAGGCTTGGCAAAGCCAGCCCCGAGCCTCTGTAAAGGGGCCATCAATCAGAGTTCACCGCCATGAAGGAGGGAAGGAGCCAGCTCCTCAAGCTGTGGGAGTGAAAAGCAATATCATTTATCGAAAGAAACAGCGAGAAGCAAGGCTGCTACTGCACCCTGCATCCCTCATATTTAACATCAGTGAGGAACCTCTGCGAACATGGCGCTGCGAGCGGCGTGGAGTGCGCGGGCCGCGGCCTGCAGCCTGCGCGCCGCCTGGGCCCCCCCTCTGCCCTGCCCGCCGCGGCCCTGGGGGCTGAGGGCGGGCGCCGTCCGGACGCTGCGCACGGGCCCCGCTCTGCTCTCGGTGCGTAAATTCACAGACAAACATGAATGGATAACAACAGAAAATGGTATTGGAACAGTGGGAATCAGCAATTTTGCACAGGAAGCTTTGGGGGATGTTGTTTACTGTAGTCTGCCTGAAGTTGGGACAAAATTGAACAAACAAGATGAGTTTGGTGCTTTGGAAAGTGTGAAAGCTGCTAGTGAACTCTATTCTCCTCTATCAGGAGAAGTAACTGAAATTAATGAAGCTCTTGCAGAAAATCCAGGACTTGTCAACAAATCTTGTTATGAAGATGGTTGGCTGATCAAGATGACACTGAGTAACCCTTCAGAACTAGATGAACTAATGAGTGAAGAAGCATATGAGAAATACATAAAATCTATTGAGGAGTGAAAATGGAACCCCTAAATAAACTAGTATGTAACATCAGTGAGGGCCATTCCCTAGAAGATGTCTCTCATGGCAGCAGACTGTCCAAGGCAAACAGCATGGGCTCTTGCCCTGGTTTCACCAGTGAAAAGCTATGCGACTGGTCTCAGTTTCCTCACCTCTAAAATGGAGAGAATAGAATCTTCCTCCTAAGACTGCTGTGAGCATTAACCGAGGAAATAGAGGTAAACTGCTTCATCCAGTACTTGGATTATAGAAAATACTCAATAAAACTACTATTATTAATACTAGTTGGCAATTATTTTTGCCTTTTATCATAAATTGCATGGAAACTTCCTAAAAGTTAATGAGAATCACTTCATTTTCAGTTGCCTTCCTTTCTTCCTATAAATTTTATTCTCTCCCTTATCCTATTCACTGTCTTTGCATGTAAACAATGTCAGTTTGGTATAATTATTTTTCCCTATCCTTTATAAAATCCTATACAGGACAAATCAGTTGACCTTAGATATGTTCACCAAGTTTTGAAAAATCAGGATGAGACTTGAACTAGGTAATCTTGGGACAAATATGAAGCAGGACTATTTTGCATGCAAGGTAGCAAACAAGAATGCTCTCTTCTAAAATCACCTGTGAATAGGCCCTTCTGCTAGTGTTCATCAAAAATAAACAGATCTGTAGACCCACTGGGATTTACTCAAATAAGCTATGGCCTCACTATCAAAATATTCTGGTAGGGCCTGACAGATTAAAAAAGAATCCCATCAATGCACAACTGCTAATAAAACTCCTAAATTGGTGTTTGGAAACAACACTCTTTTGATGTGCTAAGAGGAAAAATAATCTATTATGTTGAGAAGAAAAGATAGCATGGAAATTGTCTACTCATTTTCTTAGCATGTACTGGTGTCAGCCTAATGGAGTGGCTGTGGAGGCTTGCATCATAAACAATTCCATTCTTCCCTCCTTCCAACTCTCCCCAAACACGTCCCAGCACCACCCCACCCCACCCCACCCCACCCCACTTCTCCGGTCCGTCCGTTATACCTTCGTGTTTTGAACCTACGTCTTTAAGGTTGCCACTGTCATCAGAATTCCAAGCAGACTGGCGAAGGCCCAGGGGCTCTGGGTGAGGTGACTGATGGCTTCTGGTCCCCTTTGCTTCCACGAGGCTCAGCAAATTCCTTGTGGCTTCCTCCCACCGAATGTAGTCCCTCAACTGCTGCTTCAGGCTCCCTCCCTCATAAACATATGGGGACTCTCCCGTGCTCTTTTTCCCCATTAAGTGCCCTATAAAAAACAAAACAAAACAAAAAGACCACAAATTTAACCCAGGGGAATGAGTGAACAAGAAATTAAAAAGGACCACAATTATGTTTGTGCTGCTTCCTCCGAAATGCAGAATAGCGTTTAATTATTAGGAGTTCATAAATGGCTGACAGATTTTGCTCCCTGTTCAAAATGTGCAATCAGCTGGACAGAATTCAGACCTGCAACTCAGGAGTCCTGGGTTTGGTTCCAGCACCTCTGCTAACTAGCGAGGTGACCTCTGCCAAGTCCTTTAGCATCTTCGGTCTTCAATTTATCAACTATTAAATGAACAGGCTGGACTAGATGAACTCTAAGGAACCTTCCATATCTAAATTTCTATCACCAATTCTGTGTGCACCGAATTTGATTCCCAATTGAATAATGGAGTTTATACATCTTCCCCAGCCAATTTTGAATTGCTACTGAAAAGAAAAGTCTCGGTGCCTTTCTTTGTGTGATTAAAAAAAGATGTTGCTTTGCTCTTATCTGTAATACAATTGGGCCAAAGGAATTTTTCATTTCGACTTTCTCAGAATTTTAGCTGAGACTGAATCTAGGAAACATCACCTAGAAATTACAGTTGGGTAAGCATGTAATGAAAAACAAGTTCTGACCAACACTTCTCAGCCACATAAATGCAGAATTTTCTCTTGGGTGTCTAAAAGGGTCAGTGAAAGTCCAGCAATGGATCCAGGGATGTGCACCTGCCATATAAACAAATAAAAGTTGCTGTGCAGGAAACCAAACCCCTAAAAATATGGAAAATCATGTACGCAAGTGGGGATAACCATAGGGCAGAAGGGGGTATAGAATTCAAGGTCGGCATTCTTAACATTTTAGTCCATTGCTTAAATATACTCTATCTTATTTACTTTCTTGAGTTGATTTTTCCCATCTCTCTTCAATTGGGCTTTATAGCACTTTCAAATTTCTAGTATCAATAAAACATGGTGCTTTTGATTTAAAGCTCACAAGGAAAGAGCTCTTTGTGGTTCTACCATTGACTGGCATTAGAAATATTTAAGGCAGGGGGCTGCGCCATGGCTTAGCGGTTAAGTGCGTGCGCTCCGCTGCTGGCAGCCGGGGGTTCAGATCCCGGGCGTGCACCGGCGCACCGCTTCTCTGGCCATGCTGAGGCCGCGTCCCACGTACAGCAACTAGAAGGATGTGCAACTATGACGTACAACTATCTACTGGGGCTTTGGGGGAAAAAGAAAAAGGAGGAGGATTGGCAATAGATGTTAGTTCAGAGCCGGTCATCCTCAGCAAAAAAAAAAAAAAAAGAAAGAAATATTTAAGGCAAACATCATGGGAATAATATTTGAAAGATCCCAGTCACTTGAAATGGAAAGAGGACCCTACTCAGCAGCTCTATCCATGGACAGAGAAGCCCTCCCCGTGACTTTATTGTCTGTGTCTATTGCAGTTTATAGTTTACAGGACGTTTAAATGCAGATTATTTCATTTGATCCACACACAAATAAGTTTGATGAAAATGAGACTTGCCAAAGGTCACCCACATGCGAGCAAAGGTTCTAGTATTAAAATCAGCTCACAGCCCTGACGCTACTATGTTATGCTGCTTTGAAGTTTCTTTGAACTTTCTAAGAATATGAGGCTGTTAGAAATCATTCTGAGGACTGGAAATAAGGATAAGGTCTACAAAAGGCTTACTAATGTTTAAAAAGGAAGAGGGACGGGCCGGCCCCGGGGCTTAGCGGTTAAGTGGGCGCGCTCCGCTGCTGGCGGGCCGGGTTCGGATCCTGGGGGCGCACCGACGCACTGCTTCTCCGGCCATGCTGAGGCCGCGTCCCACATACAGCAACTAGAAGGATGTGCAGCTATGACATACAACTATCTACTGGGGCTTTGGGGGGAAAAATAATAAATAAATAAAATCTTTAAAAAAAAAAAAAGCAAGAGGGATCATATATCAGTATGACTCATTATGTGACTCAGAAAAATTAATTCTGAGAGTATTGAGGAGCCTTAAAATGAGGTTTCACTGCATTGCAGCGTGAGTCCTTGCCAAGTCACTTATGACCCGACACGTCACACAATATGGGGGACACTGTCCCAACTGAAAGATTGGAATCCTGAATGATTAGCTCCTCACGTATCTGCTTGGTCAACTTGGTGCCCGGATGACCACTAAATAACCTTGCATTTAGCCATAACCGTGATTATGTTGCACGACTTCTCAGGAAGTAGGGAAGCATTTGGCTGGATTTATATGGAGGAAATTGAATCATGATAATGGGCGAGCAGGATTAGAACCTGATGCTCACAGTAATGACCTCGGTCACTCTTGTCCTCCCTCACTGCCCAACATCTAGCTAGGATGCTGGAAATGAGAAAGGCATTATTGCCAATGAAGCAGAGGGACAATGGAGATGTTTGTATAAATAAAACTTCATTTTTGCCCTGCCTGAATAATTTTGTGGACTTTTCAAAAATGAAAGGATAATGTGGTCCTCCATTCTGTGGTTGACTTAGCACAGATCCATGTGACATCGTACTGACTTTCAATATTTGTATATTTGGTGGGTAGGTGTCCAGACTCCCACCCCTAGATCCACAGACTGATGATTAAGGAAAGCGCACCATCTAAAACATCCCAGGAAGCACAGATTCCCTGGGTCCTGTTTCACTTGTGAGCTGGCTACTATCAACCAAATAATCGTCTCCACGGCAACATGGAAGATATGCCCACTTCCGCCTCTTCTCCCATCATCATTTGTTACATGTCCATATCATAACAATGGAGATCTCAGCATAGACAAAAGACAGGCATTTGAAAAAACAAAACCTTGCCCAGAGGGAAAAAAAGCTTTTGTCCTTTTTAATCATTTAAACATACCACTAAAATGGCAGGTTTGAAACATAAATGAATTTTCTTGAACTCAAAACTTGATTACCCTAACTTAGAAAAATATCCATTAAGACAAAGTGTTGAGTGCTCCTAAGAGCTTTTCTGGAGTGACACTTAAACTATGTGTCACAGTTTGCGGGTCAGCACTACAACGTAAAGCTATTCCGCAGTTGAACATTGGTGTTTCAGAATTCAACCTTCCAGAACATAATTCACATCAAAGTCAGAGCATTTTGTGGGAGCACAGGGGCTGGTTACCAGTGTTAGTGTTGACCTGTATTTTCATCGCACAAACAAAACATTTCCATGAACATCAAGCCAGATAAGAATTTGTCAAATCTTCAATCTGTTAACTTGTTTTCCATTGCCACACCATGCTTCTCCCAGCTGGAAGAAGCAATTCACTCAACAAACCTGCAAATTTGTGCTGACGGCTTCCTCATGGACAGCAATATGTAGCTTTCGTTGGATGTAATTAAAACTAAACTGCGAGTCTTCAGTGATTGAGGAGCACAGGCATTTACTTAGGAGAGTGGAAACGCAGTTTCAAATCTAACAATCTCATTCACGCTGTGAATGTTCGCATTCCAACAGAGGGCATGTCTACCCAAAGTGAACTTTTTCTCAATCACAACGTCATTTTAGACCCAAACGTGATTTTCTACTTCACCTCCCTCTCCTTAGTTCTTCATCAACTCTGCACGGTCAGCCGAGGGAGAAAAAGGAAAAAGAGTGCGTTTGAGAACAAATAAGAAAATTTGGGGTTGCCTCTGGTCAGTAAAGTTTTGGGTTAAGAATGCCCAAACACCACTATGAAAGGTCATTAAATGACAGACACTATAATTAACTGGGGACAGATGTGCTCTGGAACTGCACCAATCAGGGTTGGCCTGCATCAGAAATAACATGATTCCAGCTTTCCAGCTAACTCTCTTGTCCTGCTTTTGGCCTGCAAGTGTTACCTAATAATAAGCCTTTTTAGTACAAAAATATGGACAAACAAAAAGGTTGGAAATCTGGAAGTTTCAGTCCACCTTCCCAGCCCACTGGCTGGTGGCTGGAATAGACAATGGCCACTTGATCTAAACTCCCAGAAGCCCTTTTTAAGTATCAGTTCTAGGTTTGGCTTCTTTAACAGCTTCTAAGTATCCTTCTCTCTTAATGTGCAGGGTTTTGCGATCACCTCAACCTGTTCTCTCTACACCAGGCTCCTGGGTTCCCGGTGTCCCTCAGAGATCACAAACACTTTCATCCCAGGGGCTGCTGAGACTTGGCAAATGATTCTTTTAGTAACAATGAGAACTACTCTGTCGCAAATCCGTTCTGGATTTCTCTCACGGAAACATACACAACACAGAGGAGCTGAGGACGTGACAGTTCCAGCCTTACCTACTCCCCTAAATCTTCCTCCTTCACACCAAGAATCTGTGAATCGGCTGATAATTTGAATTAACAAATACCTTTCCAACACATCCTCCCCCACTCGTAAGTAGATGACTAAGGAAATCGTGAAACACACACACACACACACACACACACACACACACACGCACACACCCTTTAATCTCTTCAGGGATCTCCAGCTTTAAGGATTTTCCATCCCCAGGAAATGTTGGGGTTGTGGCACTTGGCTATATGGAGAGATTTCTAAGGAAGTCGTGCGCTTTGCATTTGCCACAGGCTATGCGTGGCGCGGCCGAGAGCCCAGGGGTGACGTGGGGTGAGCGCAAGGCTTCGGGGCCGCTACCTGCCTCCCGGTTGCGGGAAAGCTGTGTGCGCGCTCGGCCGCCCGCCACCCCGCGGCTGCCCTTTGCGCCAACGCGCGGTGGTCCTCGCCACTGGGGTTCCGGGGGCCAGGACGAGCGAACCTCCAAGCGCCTGCCTGGAAAACAGGACCTGTTGGCAGAGGGAAGGGGAAAAGACCTAGGGGAGAGGGCAAAGTCCAGGTGTTGAGAGGCGAAGAAAAGCGGGAGGCTCGGGGCGGG